GGAGGTTCTGGCAAGGTGCTCTAAGATGTACTGAGAGGAGGCATAAATATATGTTTTGAGAAAAATTTTAAACAAGATTTCTAGTGAACCAGAATACGGGCTGCTTTCTGGTGATACACAAATCTGCCTCGGCTCTTAAAACTCTTAACAATATCCTAGGTACGAGGGCTAGGGGGACGAAAAGTCTTTCCAGGAATGCGCTGTCTAGCCAGCTCCTCGGGAAGAATGTGATCCCACTTCCCTGTAGAATGTCATCCGTTGACTCATGGCGTGCACACTTCCCTCCCCATGACATGGGGCTTCATGAGTCAGCCAGAAATCCCCCCTTTGCATTGAGCACAGAAATAAACAAAAGATATCGACTGGAAACTCTAACTAATTCTCTTGCAACCCACACTGTCATGTTGGAAATGGCCGCAAGAGCCATGGTTTCAACTAACTGCCTGGTGTTCCTTGCCAAGAGGTGCCCCTGAACTGCCCAGGGCTGATCAGATGGGGGATGCACGTGGCTACTCACCACCAGTCAAACTTAAGCTTGGTTTCCGTCGTTTTTGTGTCCTGTGTTTAATTCCCATGATACCAGCCACCACTGTTCATATGGTCTCAGTGCACCCTCCTGGCATGTGGGGTTGCTATTGCCTGTTTTCCTCGAGATCAATTTCAGCTGAATGGTTTACCTAGGGTGGTCCGGTGCAGCACCTCGGGCTCCAATCCCACTGCCTCAGCCTATCTCTTTTATCTTTCAGCAAAACCAGCCCCAGTTACACTTAGATTCAGAATATTCGGCCTAAAATCTGGTCTCATCTGAAAAAAGGAGGTGGGGGGGGGGGAACAAAGCTGTGTTTATACTGACCCTGTACCTGGTCAATATAAAAGATCTCCTTTTTTCTCCTTCGAACCCCTAAGCACTCTTCCTTCTTACCTAATGGAGTAACTGTTAGACTCCAAAGTAGGTCCTTAGTGAGTAGATTTTGAAAGTGAAGACTGTCCCCATAATCAGGCAAATGCGGACACCCTGCAGGGTTACACTGATTACCATACCGTTATGTACAACTGACTTTTCACTTCTAAATGCAAGCCAGCACACTCATGGCAATGAGGCAGTTATCTGGATTAGCGAGGCCCCAAAGCCCATTTTATTGGATGTATGTAAGGCTTGTAGGCTTATGAGTGGCTCCATTATAATCATTTAAGCACTTTTGATATCCAGGAGATAATAAGACCCCTCTGGACCTCTGTTTCATCTTAGAATACTGTTTAGGTTATCAACTGCCTTGTAACAAACCAGCCCAGAGCTGCTGGCTTAAATCAGTGATTATAGCGCTTGCAAGTTTGTGCGGGAGGAATGCTGGAATGCATCAATCCAGGGGTTTATTTCAGGCTCACATGGCGTTGGTGAGATGCTGGGCCTTGAAAACCCATTTCCAAAGTAGTTTCTTCGTGAATGTGTATATGTCCTCTTGCTCCTTGACCTCTGTCTACATGGCATCTTGTCCTCTGAAGTCTTTCTTTGTCTTGGGGCGTCTCGTACTACAGCTTGCTCAGGGCAGTCAAATGTGTTTTATGTGGCAGCTGGCTTCCAAGAAGCAAATGTCACGAGCCAGGAAGACACTCTCCTTCAACTGGTGCCGCGAAGCGACAACTTTACTTGTCTCCTTATTCAGCATCATGACAGGGTTTATACCCAGAGTCAACCCCAAAGAAGCAGACACCAGCCACGTCTTAGGAACGCAGTGACAAAATGGCCTTGCAGAGGAGAAGATGGGACGTGCCCACGTCTAACTGGCTTTCTGGGGAAAGCAGTACGCATGAGGGGATGTGAGCACTAGAGGGTTATAAATTCCATTAATATAAATATTGGGTGGAATAGGGGCACAGTTTGTAGTTGTACTGATTTATAAACTCTGTATCCCAAGTGTTTCTCTCTGAATGTTTCTCCTGGATTTTGCCAGACTCTTCAGCTGGTAGCCAGCCCCCTGTCACTAGTGAATCCTTCATCTTGTGTATGCTCGCAGCTCTCCTGCAGCAGGGTCCTCTTGCGCTCCAATGAATTGTCTAGAATAAAAATGAAAGAATTGTTAGTCACAGTCCAAATAATATACCTTTTTAAAAACTTCACGATATTTTATTGGTAACTCTACAATATTTAGCACATTTTTTTTTAAAACTGAACCTGTCATCAGAACTTTTTTTTAATTGTTTTTACTGAGCTATCTGCTTTTCTCTACTCCCCTCCCTTTTCCCCCCTCCCCTTCTATCCTCTCCTATGGTCCCCTTGCTCCCAATTTACTCAGAAGATCTTGTCTTTTTCTACTTCCCATGTAGATTGGATCCATGTATGTCTGTCTTAGAGTCCTCATTGTTGTCTAGGTTCTCTGGGATTGTAAATTGTAGGCTGGTTTTTCTTTGCTTTATGAGTGAGTACATATGATATTTGTCTTTCTGGGTCTGGGCTACCTCACTCAATATGATGTTTTCTAGATCTGTGAATTTGCCTGCAAATTTCAAGATGTCATTATCTTTTTTTCTGCTGTGTAGTACTCCATTGGGTAAATGTACTACATTTTCCTTATCCATTCTTCAGTTGAGGGTCAGCACATTTTTAAAAAATACACTTTGAACTAATATTCTTAATTGCATCATAAATTTTTATTCCTATTTTCTAGGTGAGTAAATTCTCTACCTTTCTGTTACTGTTAAAAAAGAACTTCTAGAATAGCTAACCTATAAATATAAAAAAGTTTGATTCATAGTTCTGGATGCAAGAGTTACTTTGTTGCTTAGGGCTAAGTAATGTCTAAGTAAGGTCTAAGTAATGGGTGCTTGGAGGTATCATATGGTTGGAGCAGGGAGTACGTGGTGAATCAAGTCACTTACATCATGAGTCAAAAGAAGAAAGAAAAGATAAATCATAGTCCCATACCATAATCTCTTCAGGGCATGCCCCAAATGACCTAGATACATGTCCCTCACAAGGCCCCACCCTCCCTCTAATAATACCTCCCTGGACAATGGGCTGTACCACATGGACTTCAGATAACATCGTCCAAATCACAGTGGTAGGAAAGCTTCCGTGGGAAATGTAGCCAAGACCAATACCATGTCTTCTGAGTTTAGGCAAAGTCTAGCACGGCCTCTGATGAAACCTGTGGAGAGAAGAAAGTTCAAGTGAAAACAGAGATGGGAACCCTGACCCCATTCACATCGAAACACTTCTTTCCAAGGAGGAGCATTGCTCTAGAACTTCATCCAAGCAACTGTCCAGCTCCTGATGCTAGTGCTGATTGTTGCTATAGCTGGACTAAAACCGGGTGTCCACATTGTTGTGTCTTGTGAGCCATGCTGCATAACTGTGTCACGTGCGACTCAGGCCCACAAACAGGTCTCTGTCTGCTTTGGCACTTCCGAGAGTTAGTAATAAGAATCATGACTGCTGTTTAGTGTCCAGGTTCCCCACAAAGAGACATCCAGACCTGAAGAATATATCTAGGGAGAGGAGACAGTCTGTGACAACAGGGCTTAATTATCGCACTAAAATATACTTGGAAGGAAGTCTGTGAACTGTAGAGTAATGGTTAATGGCAGGAAAGAGCTATGGCGAGGTCTCGGGGCTTTCTACTATCTTTTCCCTTTTTCCGAAGTTCATTGACTTTCAATCGCAAAGTAGATTCTCCTATCTTTCTGTGAAGGGACTTCCTGTGGTTTATTTTGACATTCTGTGTTTATCTGGAGCCAATCCCTTTAGCACAGATGTCAGAAGGGTGTTTTATTCCTACTTTTCCTTTTATACGAAGGAAAGCATTTTTTGTGTAAAAGACATTTATAATCTTCTGTGTTTGAGCGGAATAGTGCAATATACATAGAGCTTAAAAAGATCCTTTTAGTACTTTTTATATGAGTAAAATATCCCTTGTAGGGGAAAAAAAAAGTCGGAAATAAAAATAAGTCAAAAATTGAAGCTAAACTCATGCATAATCCTGCCACTGTCTGTTAACAGACAGCCAAAGTTAGCATTTGGAGGGGTGTCTCAGCTTTCCAGTCTGCATGCATAAGCATTTTTGTTGTACATGGCATGGATTATGTGTTCCTTAAACAAGGCCGCCTATTTGATGTTTCCCCGACTGGCTTTAAATGCTGTGCTGAATTTTCAGTCATTTGTCTAAACTTTCAACATGAAAAAAATAAATAGCAATTGCCTTCTTAACATCCCTGTGGCTGCGAGTCAAAGCTGCGTTGCTGTGGGCGGGCCTGTGGGCTCCAATGTAAAACTTTCCGAGGATCAGGGTATGGATTCTCTGAAAAACCTCATGCCTTGCGTTTGCCGTGGTCGGCAGAGGGTGGAGGGACATTCTAGACCCTACTGCCACCCTCCCCACCAAGGACACTCTCAGGGAGGTCACCCTAGCCTCAGTTTGGCTTCCAGCTGACTGTCCCTCCCTCAAAATGCCAGTGACCAAAGGTGTTTATGGGTTAGGAGTAGTTCTAGAATTTGGAATATTTGCAAGGACATAATGAGAAGAGGTAGCTGAAGGATGAGGACTGTGTCCACACACAAAATTCTCTGATGGGCCTGGAGTCTAGTTCAGTGGTAGAGTGCTTGCCTAGGACGCATGAGGCCTGGGTTCAGTCTCCAACCCTGCTTTAAAAGAGTTCATTTGTGTTGGTACATACCGCACACACATCTCCTGCCGGTCATTTTACATGTTTTCGCCATGGTTCCACTTTACAACCATCACAGGGGGGCAGGTATGGAATTTTCCACTTGTGGCTCACACACCGATACTCAGAAAATTTGGGGTTTTGAAGATCTTCTAATTTTGGTTTTTATGTCAGGGGTGCTCAGACTGTAATGTATTTCATTTATTAAGTCTTAATCTGGGATAAATTAGTAATTCTTTCCCCAAAATGTTATCTCATAGAAGACTATCTGTCTCTTGGATGCTGTGTACGTTGGGAAAACATGGGACCTAATTCTGCTTCGTTTTCTCCTGTTTAGGCAGCAATAAGAAAAGAACTAAATGAATTCAAAAGCACAGAAATGGAAGTTCATGAGGAGAGCCGACAGTTTACAAGGTGGGTAGACAAGATCGAGTTTTGCAGGGTGAGAATACTCAACACGGGAAATTTCATGTCGGGTATACTGTGTAGTGATTTCATTTTTAAATATGCTTTGGCAGAAATTGTCTAATGAAGGTTTCGCCTTCCCTCACCTCTGTCTTTCTTTGCTCTTTTGATTAACTAGAGTCCTGGTAGCAAATTTAAAGATATGGCTGGACCAGATTATCAATGTCTAGACTTTCCTGATTGGCTCAATTGTGTCGTTTAAGTGCACCTAAACTGATCTCACTGGGAGAAAAAGATTCTACAATGAGGTCTTGATTTTCTCTTTCAGTGAAGTGTGAGTCATTCTGAAGGACTATATTATGGTTCTCTTTTTAGTTTCGTTTTTGGGCCAAAAAAAAAACAAGTATTGTCATAGTCTGCTCTTAAACTGATATTGGAAGTCCTGTGCTCTGAAGACATCCTGGTGGCAGGCGGTGTGGGAACATATGTGTTACTTATTGCTCACAGGACAAGACCTAGGGCAGAAACTGAATTTTGCAGAAGCTAGATCTTACAATGGGAATCAAGTTTTGATTGGCTCCCCAGACATTGATGGGATCACCATTAATCTCTGGGATCACGAGCCTGTAAAAAAAAAGAAGCCTTCCTTTGACTTACAATCCCAGAGAACCCAGGGCATGCTCAGTTCTTTCTGACCTATAAGAAGGCATCATGGTGGTAACACATGGGAACACCACTCCTTCCTGCTGTGGCCCAGGAATGAGAATAAGGTAGAGGAACAGACTTGGGCCCCATTGCCCTCACAGACAAGCCCCCCAGCGACTGCAAGGCCCTACCCTTAAGGTTTACAGCATTCCCTGGAGAGCCAAGTTGAGACCTGGAACTTTAGCACTTGGGCACCTAAGATCCAAATTTTAACAAGTGTAATGCTGTGGTTTGTCTCCCTACTACTCCTTGGTTTTCCAAATGACAGAAACTGTGTGTGTGGGAGGGGGGGTGGAATCTGTTCATATTATCTAATTTCCAGAAGTAACAGCTATTCTATTTAGTTACAATCTCATACATATATTAGCTTTGCTTTATGTAACAAGCATATTCCTAAAATTTTGCTCAGAAATTAAATTTTTAGAAACCAAATTGAGGGTCTGTGGTGATAGCTCCATGGGTAAAAAGGGGACTCTCCACACAAGCATGAGGGTCTGAGTTTGGAGCTGCAGCACCCATGCAAATAGCCTGGCATGGCCACATAAGCCTGTGACGGCAATGTGGTGGGCGCAGAGACAGGAGGATGTTTGGGGATTGCTGGTTGCCAGGCAATTAGGGTGCTTGTAGGGCAGAGAGATACAGACTTGATCTTAGGATTCAGTGAGAAATCCCATCTCCTCTGACCTCAGCATATGTTTGCACATACATGAACGCAAACTCATATAACAACACACACATAAACACACAACGGAAGTGATAGAAAATTCCAGGAAATGAATGCATGAAGAAGACAAGGTTCTCTGTCCTTTAGAACGCAAATACTGATGTCCTACCCTAATTGCATTGTCTCGATGCTGTGATCTAGAGACAGCCTCAGTTGTAGCTGAGTCTTGACCCCTGAGCTATATTGTCTGCCCTCATCCCACATGGTCATTCAGATTGGTTTTCCTTCTGTAAAACTTTCCTCTAAGTCATAAGATCTGATAGCTTCATCTCCATTCGATGGCCCGAGGTAAGAATAAATTACAGCAGAAAATAAGCAAAAAAAAAAAATGTATTTTGTAATTCTAATTTTGTAATTTTCATTAGTTAAATTTAATTAAATTTTGTAGTTCTAATTCTCCAGGAAGCATTTCTGCTGGAAGGCCTTCTTTCTGTTGTGTTCTCTAAGCAGATTCACTAAAACTAGCCATAGGGAGGTATCAGGGCCGTTTCTTTCTTATGTCTTTTGTATACGAAATGATGCATTTTAATTAAGCATTTAAGTAGCGCTAAAGTTTATCAATAAAAATGAATCCTCTACTTATTTTCCACCCTCATCTTTATTCTCCCGGGGAAGAGCTAGCTAAGGGCTTCTAGGCATTTCTTTTTCTGTGCATTTATGAATGTGTCCAAATATAATATAATTGTGTGCACAGACTGTTTATCCACATCCAGCACGTAGAAAGCCAGTCCCTCCCTGTGGTCTGTACGGCGCTCATCTATCTCCATTGACTGTGGTGTCCCACAGATAATGTGCTACACAGTACTGAGCAGGACCTGCTGGTTGTCCATGACACTTCAGCTTTTCACGGTCGACACTAAGTCACTGCCGTCACGGTTATGTCTGTGTGCACATGCCATGATTTCTGTGGTTGCCCCATTGACTGGATTTCCTAGATGACTGGGTTCATGGGTTTGGTAGCTTTCAAAAGACTCCTCTCTGTTCTCGTTTAAAACACTTCGTTTACTGACTCAGAGAGGATGCTGCACGCTCAGTCACCTTCATCAAAAGTTGGTGGGTGACCTCAAGGTTTTTGCTCTCCAGGATAAATAGGAGCACGCTAATTTCCACACTAAACTCCATATGGTTGGGCCCTTTCATGCATCCTTATTGACCCTTTTTGTTTATTTATTTAACGTTTGTATTCAAACCTTTGTAAATTTTCTTTTGGACTGCCTGCCTTTTTTAGATGGATTAGTAAAATCTGAGATATTTGTCCCCAGTATTTTTTTTGCAACCTGCTGTCAGCCTTTTACATTCTTTCCACGGTCTTTTGTGTAATGTTTGCGTGCTGAAATCTTTCTGTGTTATTACTCTTTTATTTCATTGGTTTTTTTTTTCTGTGTGGAAGGGAGCCAAGAATACAAAACCATTGTTTTCAACTGTTTTTACACTTAAGACTTTAAGCCATCGGGCACCTCTTTCTGTGCATGATTCAAAATCACACATGAACTTTGCTTTTGTCAACCAGTGCTCAGCTGTCCCTGTGCCATTTATTGGCCTCTAGATGTGAAGTTCGCTTCGGGCACATCCAGAGGTCTGGGTTCCATATTATGCCCTAAGGATCTTTGACTGTCCCTGCCTTTGCTAGTGACACTCTTGAACTGAAGGCTTGTAGTGTGTTTTTCTATTTGATGGGATTTTTTTTCACCTCCAAAAGCCTATCAATTATTTAATTCAGGCTCACCTTGTGTTTTATTAAATAATTTGTTGATGTTTCTATTGTTTAAGTAAATGCTAACAGATGAAGGTTAGGTAAGTTTTGAGGTGGTAACAGCTCATGTTGAGGAGATGTGCTTAAAAGGATTTTTTTTAACAGTATTGATCAACACTCTTTAAACTATCATTTCAGATAAGGAAAAATTAAATATTTATACCACCAAAATAAACATGCCTTGCTCAAGAAGTCTTTAAGAGTTGACAGTAAAGCAAATGTCTACTGCCATTTTTCCATTAGTTTACATGACATCATTAGAGTTGTATTCCAGCAGGGAAGTATTTTTTGGCTTTGGAGGTATAAAAATCATGCTGTGATTTTCATGTTGGTGTCAGTATTTCTTTGAAGAGGAAAAAGTTCTAATAAACACTACTGTTTCTAGTCAAAATAATGTGAAAATATGGCCATGCATTTCACTTAGAAAAGTACTCCTGTAAAAAAAAAAAAAAAAAAAAAGTACTCTCGGCATTAGCCCCCGCATGCAAACACGGAATCATTACCCATCTTTTTTAAATGCAGCCTAGACACATGGCAGCAATTCTTTGTTCTAGTAAGTGCCAGGCTTTATCTTCCATATCAAGCAAGCCATCCTATCAGATGCTAAGCCTCAGAGACCCACACAGGGTCAAGGTAGATCATGCAGAAGACTGCTCTGTTCCCTACCTGTTATCCAGACACGAGCAAACACACAGACACACACAGAGACTAAGACACACACACACACACAGACAGACAGAAACACAAACACACAGACACACACAGAGACACAGGCATACACACACACTCAGACACGCACACAGACACAGACAGACACACAAGCCACACGCAAGACACACAAACACACACGCACACACATGCAAGACACACACACACACACACACGTCTACGGCCACACCACCCTGAACGCACCCTATCTAGTCTGATCTCAGAAGCTAAGCAGGGTCGGACCTGGTTAGTACTTGGATGGGAGACAGACACACACATACAGCGGTCCAACCATCTCCCTCAGGATCTTTGCAAAAACTCCCCAAAGGCTGGTGATACTCTCCTCTGGGGAGGAGGGCTGGTAGCTGGGGCACACACAAGAGAGAGACTTTTTGCCACAGAGGCTTTCAAACCTTTTGAATTTTTGAGACAGGGGACTGTTTTACCAAGTCAACAACAGATATTTAAGAGAAACAGGGAAGGGATCCAATTCCTGAGACCCTGTTTTAATAAATGAGGATTCCAGCCTGGCACTTCATTTTGATTCATGTGCTGGCATTTATATCGTGAATACTTCAGCACAGCAAGAAGACACTTCTTTGACCGCCATCACAGAATATCTTCTGGTGTGTGCGTGTATGTGTGACTGTGTGTGCGTGCACACATTGATGAATTGTGTTGATCTGTTCTCTCCTGCAATCCTCCTGGTTACTCCCTGAGTTCTCTAGAGACCTTTTTGGGATTTGAAGCACAAGCTAGTCTTACAACAAGGATGGGGAAAAAATGCTCCCACAAGAACTCATTCTGGGGCTTGATAAGGAACCAACTGTTACCTGCATTCTTTCACATGTTTACCGCTTCTCTGGCTACACTCTGTATTTTCCCCCTTTGTTGCCTACTCGGCTCATTGCTTAAAACCAAAAAGTTGAACATACTTGAATAGCGGTCTGTATGTTGATTATTGTAGTCATTACATTCTCAAAAGACACCACTATGACAAACAGAATCCACTCTACTTTTCAAGACAAATGGAATTTCTATAATAGAAAAAAACATCTAAATTATGATGGCAAATTACATAAAAAGCCATATTTTGCTTAAAAGTAAAGTATGAAGGGTCATAGTAGTAAGACTTGAGTAACTGGAATTTTCTGAATAGTGTTTTTTATTTTGTTTTTCAAGACAGGGTTTCTCTGTGTAACAGCCCTGACTGCTCTGGAACTTGTTTTGTAGAGCAGGCTGGGCTCAAACTCACCGAGATCACCCATCTCTATCTCCCAAGCGCCGGGATTAAAAGCATGCACCACTACTGCCTGGCTAGTATTTGTTTTCTAAGGATTTTATTGTATTAACTTATATTAGATTTGTAATCAAGTGAGAATGCCACTTTTTACAAAGTCAATTTAATTTAGCACAAAATAACATTTTAAAGTGCAGAGTATCTTCACATGTGAATAATTTTATTCATTTATGAAATGTTTGCTTATTAAGTAAGGTGCATTATCATGCATTCATTGTATCATTGAATTGAAGCTTTCAAAGTCAAAACAGATCTCAAGAGATTTTTTTTTTGTATCATAACCAGCAGACACACAAGATATTGCCTGAATGCCTATGGTGCAATGCATATTTAACATTCAGGTGCATAAAAAAAAAAAACACACTGAGAGTGAGAGTTCTTAATAGTTATTGTGCAGTATTTTATTATGCAGTATTCTTAATAGTCTGTAAAATTTGAGAATTCTCTCAAATTCTAAAATACTTTTCATGTAAGATTACATTTTTTTTTCAAGCAGTGATTTCATTTTGTGTGTTTTGAAGTAGTGATTGATTTACATAGATAGGAACCCACTCTTTCGGCCACTAGATAGGGTGTGGCTTTTTAAAATGTGACACTGCAGGGGTTGCAGCCCGCCCTGCAGAGGGCCCACAGATGCAGGGCCTGTCCTCGGGTCTGCAGCCCGCCCTGTGGAGGGCTCACCACAGAAGGGTGAGAGGGATGTTTGGGTTGTTACTCTTAAGAAGAAAATGTCCATAATTCAAAATCAGACACAGCTTTAACAGAGAGTGAATGAAAAGCTTGTGTCCATAGGGCAGAGGAAATCCGTTTGTTGCTTCACCAACTCGAAGCCTAAAGCCAGAAGTGTCATTCTATCGGAGAGATGAAGTTTTCTGAGATAAACACACCTACGAAAAACTGCATTTGCAGTCCCTCTGACCATTGAATTCTATGGCCAAATTTGAACAGAGGAAGCCTCATTTTGCAGGGTGCAGACATCTTTGACTGATTGAACACTGTAGCAAACTACAAGTTTGTGCCAGGCAGTGGCGGAACACGCCTTTAATCCCCGTACTTAGGAGGCAGAGGCAGGCAGATCTCTGTGAGTTCAAGACCAGTCTGGTCTACAGAGCTAGCTCCAGGATAGTTAGGATTGTTATACAGAGAAACCCTGTCTCAGGAAAAAAAAAATAGAAAAACAAAAATACAGGTTTGTGTCTGTTTTTCCAGATCTTGGGGGTTGCCTATGAAGAGAGGCTGCAGCCATACCTAGCCACCATACTCTTCTGAGCCAGCTGGAGGAGCTAGAATCATATCACGGCCAACCCAATGGAATTCACTTTCAGCCCAGATTCTTGGGCATTTGCTTTGTATAGGCCAGGGAGAAAGTCTTAAGTGTTTTCCTGCTGGTTTGGAGAAATTAAAATCAGGGTTCTCTCCAGAAAATGCTGGACTTTAGAAGAATCCTGATGGGAAGATAAGATGTCCTGTGTCTCTTTTACCCACACTTGTCCTTTGGATCCAGAACCCAAAAGTATCTGAAGATAGGGACTTGGCAAAATATTTGGTGCACAAAAGTCACGCAAAATTGGGAACAGGCTAAACAGTCACTAACAAATGAGTTTCTCTGCAGTGCCAAAAGAAACTGAACCCGAGAGGGAGAGAGGTCGATGGTTTTCTGTGTGAGGGCCATGAAGGGATGAGGTGTTTGTCTTGTTCCCTGAACAGTCTCAGGCGGGCTCTGGTCCCTGTATGCCACAGCACGGTGTGTTTCTCTGAGGGGGGTGGAGCAGATGGAGCAGCCGCTCTAACCACTGGTCAAAGCTTGAGAACACTGCTTCACGTCCAGCTGGAGATGGAGGTCAGGACTTACCCCTGGTCAAAACTGATCAACACTGGCCAAGGCCTGAATCTACGCATCATTGTCTTGGCTCTGGTCTGTCCTCAAGGTGGTCTGATAATTTAGAGGAAAAGCATGTGGAATCTCTTCCCGGAGGCAAGTTTCTCCTCCAGTGGACCCACAGGTCCAGTCAGCCTTGCCCTTACCCAGCATGGGATTCCTGGGACAATTCTTGTTCTTTATGGTTCATTTCAGTGGTCTGATAACATGAGTGCCTCTCTTTAAAATATCTCCTCTCCTGCCTGGGTAGTCACAAGACGATAACACGAACCGTCCACCCCCTTTGAACGAAAGCTCAGCTTTCATGTTTTGGCCTATAATACAGGAAAAACGAAAGACTCTAGAGCCAACGCCTCTACTTACCACTTCTCTGTCTTGGACAAGTGACTTTGCTTCCCAGTGTCTCAGTTTCCGCAGTAGAACAGTGCAAGTCCATACTCCATAGTAGCTCTCTATCCTCCATAGAAATGTGTGCCCTATACACATACAAGAAGATAAATAATAAAATATAAGCCAGGCGGTGGTGGCGCACGCCTTTAATCCTAGCATGTGAAAGGCAGAGGCAGGTGGATCTCTGAGTTTGAGGCCAGCCTGGTCTACAAAGAAAGTTCTAGGACAGCCGGGGCTGTTATATATTGGTTTCTGAGACATGGTTTCCCATATATATATATATATATATATATATGAAGATCGGGACTTGTGAAATATTTTATGCACAAAAGTCACGCAAAAGTGGAAACAGATTCAACAGTTGCTAACAAATAAGTTTCTCTGCAGTGCCCAGATTTGACTTCCAGCACCCACATGGCAGTTCAGGGCTGTCTGTAACTCTTAGTGTCAGGGAATCAGATGCCTCTGTAGGCACCAGCCATGTACGTGATGCACAGACATTCACAAAACACTCAGACATAAAAATCAGTAAAAATAAATTTAAAAAACTCCAAGTGGTGAAAGTCAGTTTGAAGTCACTGGTAGGAGCTGGTGAGAGTCTAATGATAATGGTCTAATGGCTTTGTTGGGGGTGTTGTTCTAATGGTTGCAGGGAGTGTTTGTCTTACATTGTTTTGTTTTTTTGTTTTGTAAGATAGCATCTCATGTATCCCAGGTTGGCCTGGAATGCCTCATATAACCAAAGATGACATTCCCCTGTCTCTACCACTCAGATAATGGGATTATAGCTGTGTGCCACCATGCCTATCATTAAGATGATAAAATAGTGATTGTGTTTGTGTTTCATATCTACAGGCTAGGTATAACCAAATCCTTGTAAAACCTGTCTCCCTCTGCATAATGTGGGTTAGAATATGAGCCTTGAGCATGGAGATGGTTTGTCTTCTTTATTCTATGAGCCTGAATAGTAAAACCGAGATCATTTCCATAAGAATCGTGTCTACTTTCCAGCATAATGCACGTAACAGCATTCTGTTAGAGCAGCGACTTAACGGTAACTGGGTTGGTGGTATTCAGAACTGCGCCTTACGCGTCTCACCAAATGCAGACTACACTTCTATGCCAGGGGCTCACAGTCTCTGCTTCTTACTGCAGGTTTCATCGTCCATAATGAGGTGCGGGACTGCTCAGAAATATAAACTGATCATCCCTGGCTGAAGTCCTGCTTCCTGAGACCCCGAAACTGCACTGAGATTTGAACGTGGATGTTTCCGTTTCATTGTGGTGAGGGAGGCCTGTGACTCAGCTTTCGTTGAGAATGCTCCTCACCTGGACAGCCCAGACGAGGCCAACAAGCTGAGAGCCAGACGCAGCAAGCCTGCCTGCCCAGGATGTGCACTGATGGAAGGGGCACTCTGGTTCTCTCAGCTGCTTTTCCTCGGACAATTTCATCAAAGAAGACAAGCAGAAGACAATCGCCAGTTCGACTACCGGAAAGCCAAATGGTATAGTGTGTGTGGGTTCGCAAACAAGAGACATTGGAGTTGCTGCTGGTCACCCCAGCAGGGTGGGAGCTAAAAAGAAGGAGAACGGTTTCATTATGTTAATGAAGAAAAGAAGAACGAAGATAAGTATATTTTTGAAGTAGGCATTTGGTAGCTAAGAACTTACGAAGGGATTTGGGAACCTACTCACCCAGTGTGGATTCCTTAAAGACTTGATTCCAGAACATATATTCTTGTTTCGCCAATAAGGTGGTTCTGTGTAATACCATATTTTTTATGTTGTGCCAGTGAACCCAGTTGCCAGAAACAAATCTGTGTGTTTGCATTAAGTGCGAGAAGCCTCTACCAACTCTTCCCAAGCATGCTCGATCGCACTGTGTTGCATGCTTCCAGTGGCCCGCGATCCACGTGACATTTTCTGAGCCTGCTTTCCTAATCAATGAGCCCTCTCCGAGGGTAACAGAGATAAGGTCAGATATAATGTGACTCTGAGAAACCGTTGCAGGCTTTAGAAACAAATCTCTTGATTGTTCCCTGTCTTAATTATCTCCCAAGTCAGGAAAGCATTCATTACCGAAAGAAGATTATAAGGACAATCACGTTACCCTTTTGAAAAACTCAGTCCAGAGTTGCAACTTAAGCAACGTACAAGTGTGTGTTCCTTGCCCTTAAGTTCTAAAGGGGAATGAATAATAATAAAATGCCAGGTAGTTTTGAATGCTGCATTAAAAATAAAAAAGTTAGGTTGCTGCTATTAAAAAAAATATCAAGCACATGGATTTAGCAAAAATACCCTAAGGCTTTCAAGGAACACAGAAAATTGCTGGTTTATGTAAAGGAAACTTTACCTTCTGTGCTGATTCTGTGGATCGCATCTATACATACAGGCTTTACTCCCCATGCCAGGGAAGCAGTGAGATACAGTGCAAGACGGTTTCCCGAGAGCCTCTAATCAGTAGTGTTTACATTGAGAAGCTTCCTCCCTTAAATTGCCCTTCTCTGCGGTATCAGGCCAGCACAGAACCCCAGAAGGGCTCACTTGTAAATACTCCCCTAAATTTCATTGTCCCTTAACAATTGTTTTGGGTCACCTGGATTAAAAGCATGCCATATTGTGTTTTCAAAAGAGAAGGCAGAATCTGTACCGCATCTGTCTTACTCTCCAATCTGAAACGATATCTGTTCTGAACCATTCCTCCTTCAGAATGTGGAAGCCTGTAATTTTCTATCTCTACCGAGAAGTCAGCATTTAATCAGTGGAATAAGTGTAGGTCCCACCACTCTGTGGTATTGGGAAGAACCACTGGAAATTTGATGATTTCATTTCAAAGTAAAAGTGGTTAGCTGCAGTTGGCTTATTATAAGAAGCCGGGAGGATCCTTCGGTGAGGTAGCCAGCATTATTGTCCCCTGAACTGCGCTTAGCTGTTTGCATTAATAAAATAAGGCTGCCATTTACACTGGTCCATTCCACTAACGGCGTAGGACAGGCTTTAATTTTGAAATCGTGTCTGTGTGGGCCCCAGTATTTGTCTTGGGCTGAGGGCTCGTTCCTTTGGTTGTTTGCAGTGCACTGCACACTCTCTAGGAGCCCCGAGCTGCCCTCCCAGCCATTGGTTGCTTCATAGTGTCTCAATTCGACCATAAAAATTAACTTCTTTCCCGTTAATTGCAAAGTAGCGTTCCTTTATGATAATGTCATGTCGGCGTCATGAGAAAAATGCCGAGGCAGATGATGTTTTTTTTTTCTATGCCTAGAACCTTCGAATATTTTACAACTCCTAATCGCATGTTCTCTGTACATTGTAAATGCAAGACTTGCACACCAGTTTGTCCTTCAAAGTGTGTGTCATAGAAAGTTTCTGTGTGGCTGTTAAAAAGAACAATATTTTCCCCCCATAGTGGTCCGAATTACAGTTTTTCCTTTCCACAATGATATTTGCCCACTACAGAACACAGACTGCCTCTCATGCTGAAGCCCCCAGTTCAATCCCCAGTACTGCACAGATGAAAGCCTGTTTTCCTGACATGATCTGTCACATCTATGAACTACAAATACCTTTCCTCCATACCGACTCATACATTTACAGAAAATGTAATTTTCAAGTTAGAGAGAAGTTTAAAAAGCTAAAAAAATTAACTACCAGCAGTCTAATATTTAAGTAATTAGAACGACCTGTTAGTCCATTGCAACAATCAATTCACTTTTTAAAAGCCATGGAAATAATTAAAATATCATGAGCCAAGCTGTAGTGAGTGCTCAGAAGAAGTCTCTATTTTCATGGTTAATTTTTAAAGACAGAAAAATGTAAAGGCTGCATAACCTCACTAGCGACCCATCCAGGCATCCCCACAGAAGGCAAAGCAGCCATGTCTCTCTCTCCCCCTGCAATTATGCCTCTGCCCTCCGCCAGCATTTCTGCAGCCCAGCCAGCCCGCCACTGTTGCCTAAGACAATAAATGTGTGCAGAAATCACAGTTATTTCTTGGTGCAGTTGTAATATGGTTCCAGTTTTTCACTAGAGCCTGGAAATGGAGAAACAGAGGAAGTTTTCCTGACTCCTGAGAGAGAATGAAGAAAGAAAATTAGCCCATCTCATGGAAGGTCCCAGGCAAGAGAGAACTAGACCAAATAGAAAATACAGAGTGGCCATTTCTATCTTGGCTTTTAACGGAGGCGAGAAACCCTGTTGTTCTGAAGGTAATGAGAAAACACTAAGTCCCCTTCATTCTGCAGCCTCACAGTCATTACCAACCAAAATGAAAAAAAAAAAAAAAAAAAAAAAAAAAAAAAAAAAAAAAAAAACAGTCCCTTAGTCGGCATTCATCTGGGGCATCTTGGCTGGAGATTTTGTACCCATGTGAAATGCCCTGTGGTTTTGTGTTAGCTGTCCTTTACCTTTATGTTTTTTTTTTCCTTCAATCATTTAGCTAAAGTCTGCACTATTCAGAGAACCATCCTGGGTATTTGAACAGCCATTAATTAAAAAGGGAAAAGCAAACAGACCGGGTTCTCTGATTTACCCAGAAAAGCTGCCTTTTTTCATTTCTTCTTCCCATCCTTATTTGCAAAATGAAGGCAGTCACTAACTTATCTGTCTCTGGTGTCAAGAGGAAATTCTGAAATTTAATTGAAAATAGACTTAAGGAAATAGAAGACTCTAATTGCTCCTCAAAAGTCACCAAATATTGAAAACGAGTTCTGAGCCTTTAGAACCTCTGTTCGATTTGTATCCTAGGATTGAGTCAGTGACTTGTATCCTAGGATTGATTCAGTGACGCACTGGCGTTTTAAAACAAAAAAATACAGTAGTTTGTCCCTGGGAGAGAAAGAAACATGGGTTAGCACATCCACCCCATGGCATCACAGGACAGACAAGCCTGCCAAAGACTAAGCCGTAGGCACAGTAGAAAGAGGCCAGTCTGCCACATAGCAGTATGTCTGCATTTGAACAGAACAGTATTTTCTTTTTCTTCATCCCCTGCTCAGGCAGTCCATCCTGTGGTATCTGTGCGTGGTCCTAGCAGCCTAATTTAGAGTAGTAAACGTTCTTTAGCGGTGAGACAGACTTAAGCAAATCGGAGATATATGAACTCAACGTCATTTTCATCAGTGTAGTGAATTTGTTTATGCATTCCTAAATCCTCGCTTTATTCGCTTATCATTACCAGTGCAAGAAGCTGTGGTTGGATATCATCACTCGTCCCCCCGCATCCGCAGAGTATACAGATTGTCCCTTCACCCCTTAAAATGATGAATTCTTTGTTAGGATTTGCTGTCTACTTACTGGTGATATGTTTCCTTTAACAAAGCAGAATGAACCTTTCGGAGATATGGGCCAGAGAGGACAGCAGTGGGAAAAAAATAAGCAATGGTCAGATTAATGGGAACAGCTTCCTGAGAGAAAGTGCATGCCTAGGCAACTCAAACCCAAGTTCCAAAGAGGGTCTCAAGGTTCCACTATGGAGGCAAGCAACGACCAAAGGGTGGCAGAGGAGAGGTAGGCAGAAAAGCCCAAACCACTCTCCTTTTTGCTTTCTGTTTACCTTTTCTAATTGCTAAGCTTAAACATGGTTTCAAAGCTTGAACCACTATTAGCATTTCTAAAAGGCAACTGTAATAGAGACCAACTATTTTTTTTTTTTTGCTATGATGATATTTTGTTTTCTGTTTTGTTTGTTTGATTTCTTTTTGTGGACAGCTTCATCCCAAATGAATAAATCTTATTTTTACATATTGTAAGGATTTTGGCAAAGAGATGGAGAGTCGTGTAGCTGCTATTCCTACATAATGCCAATTTTTAGCCACGTTGGGTTTTAACGCAGGAAAATGCCATTGAGCTTGTTGCTCCTCTGCAGCAGCTGCGCATGAACAAAGAACTGTTGATAGATGGTCCCCAGTGGGGGTGCTGCTGGCATTTGGATCTGGGCAATTCTTTGTCGTGCTGAAATGTACCACATGTTGAAAGATGTTCGGTATCCCAGGCTCCTAGCGACTCAACACCAGGATTGTTCCCTGACATTGTAAAAAAAAAAAAATAAAAACAAAATAAAAACAAAATAAAAAGCCTTCCCCGTATCTATACACCTCTACAGAAGGGTGCACCCCCACACCTGAATACTACTGTCTACTAAGGACACACAGGGGAAAGCGCCTGTCCCTGAATATCATCTCCACTGCCTTGCATGTCTCTTAGCCACTTCAAGCTTTCTGCTTAGATGCAGCTTAAATTACTCTGTTCTCTAGGAGAGAGGGTTGCCAGGCAGCGTTGTCCATTACAGTGGGCAGAGTGACCTGACCTGATGCTTGTACGTACTTCGGGGTGGGGGGGGGGGGGGGGTTAATACGTGAAGCAAACTTTTGTTCATCGCTTCAGAACTAGACTGCTGGCCACAGCAACACAGTAGTGGCTCTGAACAAAACAGATGGCCTTTGGAAGTCAGAATTAGCTTCTACCTGGTAACACCACGGACTGGTTCGCCTCTCTTCCTATAGACAGCACAGTTAATTCACTTGGAAGTTTGGATTCCCTCGTGTAAACAAGCCCATATGGTTCGGCTTCTCTAATAAGAGGTGCAAATGGGACATGGTGGCAGAAACGTGGGTTAACTGGATCGCACGCATATTGCTCACGCCACAGAGCCGAGGCTGTGCAGAGTAAAGCGAGTTCTCCCCCGGGTGCAGCGCGATCAACCTGCGCTAACCATACGGAAGCATACTCTTTATGCCACTGAAATTTAATAGTCAATATGTCTTGGAAAATATTTAGATGAATTGCAGCTAGCTGCAAGGATGGAATTAATTCCTCCCACTCTAACCTTTTTAATATTAAAATCTAAAGACACTTTGTCTTGAAAGCAGAGCAGCTCAGAGTCAATAAAGGTGGGTATAGCATAAACCTATAGATGGTGCCTAAAAATTCTTATCTTTCTTAATAACAGTATTTTTTAAGAAGAGAATAAATTGAAGGAGTAAATGAGGCAGTACGCCACTCCACCCTCAGGTCAATTTTGAGGTTTATTAAAATGCCAATAATATTTGTGCCACTTGCCAGCCCTGGGGTGTGTGGGGGGGAGCGTTTCCCTTTATGGATGCTCTTGATTTGATTTTTGACTGTATCATTACGTTGCGTAGAGAGCATCCGCCATGAGAAATTGCCACTGCAGTGCTAACTAGCATTTGGAAGGAATTAGCAGGAGTTGAGGGTCAAACCACTTTCATCACGTACGCTATAGGCACTTAACCCCTTAGTATTTCTTCTGTGACTTAGACATGTGCCGATGCAGTTAAAGCGTCCTGCACAAAATTGACCCGTGACATACCTGCTGAAAATTCTGTCTCTCTTTTTCCCCCCTAAGTAACAGTGGTTTTTCCATCACGGACTGTCTGTGTTCTTGTGTCATTTCAAGCTTTGGTTAACGTGATCGTGACAGTACACTGTGATTATTTTGAGACTAGCGGGGTCAGTCTCCCGTGAGTGACCCAATCTTTCACACAGGTGTGCTTTCTGTGGGTGTTAATAACTGGAACTGTACCTGAACAAGCGCGACAGTTTCTCCTTTCGGTTGTTCTTAATCCGTACTATATTATAGTATGTGGGTCTGACAGCTGCAAGTATACACACCGAAATATATGTATTCCACGATTGTAACCTGAAAGACCATGTATTATCTTTTGTATTCCATATTGGTGTTTGTGTTATTTAAAGTGGAAAATTATACTCTATCTAGTAGTATAATATAATAGAATATTTCGCTGTGCACAGTTCCAAGTGCCTTAGAACATTGTTTAGCTTTCCTAAGTATATGTATATGCATATGTGTGTGTATAAGTTTGGAAGTGTTACCTCAATAAAATCATTGGGAAATCCTAGTTTTATTCGGTTACCGTCCATCTCATTTTCAGATAGCGTTGGTTTTTTTATTTTGTATTTCTTTATTTATTTGCTGTGTTTCTAAGACAGGGTCTCCCTTGAGCTTCTAACCCTTCTGTCTCCACCTCCCAAGTGCTAACTTACAGACATGCACCGCCAACTTATCACGCATAGTCTGTTTAAATTAAAAGTTCATGGAACTCTCATGGGTAAAGCAAGATTCAGATACATTTTATAATTCTCTGGTATTTCAACCCCACCCAACTTTTAACGTATTTTGTATGTGAGGCCTAGTGATTTATGCTTTTAATTTTAAAAACCTATCTAAAGAATTGTTGCTTTTTAAAAAAGACTTAGGGTGTGTATGCACAAGCTCACTCAAGTGCTCATATGTGCATGCATGCATTCATGTGGCGTGCATGTGAGCATGCGCGTGTGCTTGCTTTGTGTGTGTATGTGTGTGTGTGTTAGGATTTTCTAGGGAAACGGAACTGACAGAATGAATCTGTATTCATAGGGGATTTATTAGAGTAGTTTACTAGGCTGTGGTCCAGTTAGTACAACAATGGCCGACTCTGGGTGGAAAAGACAAGAATCTGCTAGTGGTTCAGTCCACGAGGCCAGTGTCTTCTCCTGGCCTTTAGCCACTGTTGGAGGCCCAAAGAAGAGTGTTCTAATCCAGCAAAGAAATGCTTTATCAGCAAACTAGATGAACTTGCCAGTGGGAGTGGGGCAGGCAGACAAAAAGCAAAAGTTTCTTCTTCTGGGTCCTTTAATGTAGGCTAACACTAGACAGTTTATTCCAGATTTAGGATAGTTGTTCCTTCCTCAGATGATTCAAAAAGAAGCCTCTCACAAGTGTGCCAAGATCAAGCTGATAACCAAGATTAGCCATCCTGAGTCCAGCCCTTGTCAACCTAACACACTATCACATCTGCTTATGTCATCCTTAACTTCCAACTACAAACATAACTGGGTCCTAACTATGGGTAATATAACTATCCTGCAGACAAGTACAAATGCATTATATATTTTGGAATTAGGTGGCAACGTCCCTTGAGTGACATTCTTTTAATGCCTCGTCACTTAAATATGATAACCACTGATATTATCTCAGTTGATGTTACATTACGTGATGAAGACAGAGAGGAAGGAAAACACAAAAATCTGCTTAATATGTGTCCATATATGCACAAACACATTCTTCACAAGATATGGCAGAAACACTGGCGTCAATTCCACTCCTTATTTCTGCAACTGGTCATGTGGCCTTAGCTGGCATTTACAACTTCTCACTCACCATCTGTGTTTCTTACACGCCCAGCAAGCACCTCAACAGATCTTGGTTCTTTTCCTGAAGAAGTGACTTGTATCTTCATTCCTGAAGGTCTTGACTCTTAATCATCCTGCCTGGATTGGTTTGCAGTTTCCCATTGACTTTAATCACAGGATGAGGGAACACCAAGACATTTCAGACAGAATCTTCCTTACCTCCCTCGTAGAGAAGCAATCACATTTCCTCTTGGTTGTCTGGCACAGGTACCCAAAAAGGATCAGAAAAAAAAAGTGTCAGATTAATAAATGAGGGAACAGTCTTCCTCATTGTGTTTACTCTTTAATGCTCTGTAAGCAAGGAAAGAAACTAGGAGCATGCTATAACCAGAAACAGGATTAGAATATTCCTTCTCATTCTTCAACAGGGCTTAACGAATGCAACTTAGCCTCTCTCAGCTCCAGGACAAGGTTATGGATGAGAGGAAAACTGAAAATGGACCAGCAGGCCATTACTTCCTAGACAGTAGATATAAGGGAAGAAGACGAAAACCAAAATCATTAAAAAAAAAAAAAAAGACCAGTGTAGGAACAGTGCTAAAAACAACCAGTTAAAAAAAAGAAAGAAAGAAAGAAAAAGGAAAAGGAAAGAAAGACAGACAGACAGACAGACAGACAGAAAGAAAGAAAGAAAGAAAGAAAGAAAGAAAGAAAGAAAGAAAGAAAGAAAGGAAAGAAAAAGAAAGAAGAAAGAAAAGAAAAAGGAAAAAGTGTAGGATCCTGTTTGTGTTGGCCAACTACTGACTGTACTGACTGAGCATGGAGCCTGCCCTGGGGAGTGGCTGATACACCCAAGTGTTTTTGTGCTTGTTTCAGTTTGGGTTGGGTTGGGTTTCGTTTTGGGGGTCCTAGGGAGGCAGTGATACTGTTGATTGAACTGAGGGCCCCCTGCCTGTAAGGCAAGCACTCTACTGGTGAGTTACTGCTGCCCTAGTTTGGATTTTTTGTTTTTAAGAGAAAAACAACACGAAATTGGATGGGACTTGTAAACTTTATCAAGGAATTTGTAGCTCGTCCTCAAGACGAAAGGAGCCTCTTAATCACTTTAATCTCAGGAATAGAATTCTTACATTCACCTCAATCGTCCCGAACCATGATGAACTAGAGGAAACCATGTGGAAGCATAGTGGCTGTTACTGCTACCGTCTGGTGGGAAGGCAAAGATGGCTCCAAACAAGCTATTTACTATCGGAACAAAGACATGTCAACTAATTCAAAGGGCAGTTAGGAGTTGGAAGTATTGCCTGTGGGAAACGGGGACACGGAAAAGTTATGTCTATACCTGACATGTGTCTGTGTTGTATAAAAAATGGCAATGGTACTTACTGAAGGATAGAACAGCAGAACATAAGGCTAAAATAAGGGTAGGGTTGGGTAGAGCAGGGAGGGTGGAAGAGGCTGAGGACATAGAGAAGTGAAGCATTCAGTTTTAACTTGGCGATTCAATTTGTTTGGCTTGCCTTCTGCTGGGACAACACATGTTGATAGATGTACAGGAGTCAACAGGACATAGATGTCTCAAGGTCAGGGGAAGTGTCCAGGCTGAGAATCAGAAAAGTAGTCCGATGGGAGAGTACTTGCTAGGCCTATATAAATTCCCTGGTTCTGCCCACAATACCATGAGCTGGGAGGGGAGGATATCAGAGAGACAGAGAGGAAGTTGAGAATTATAAATACATGCAATGGAAGATGAAAACAAACCTTTTTAACCAAAAAAACATAGCTTAAGCCCATGAAGTTATCAACAGAGTCAAAAGTCAATAAACTATTTTCTCATTGCTTAACTTTACCTTGGAATCCACAACATCATTATTTACACATCATTGGGGATTTCTGGCACCTACTTGGTCTTAATTGTATAGGATTTTACTCATTACTTGAACTTTAACTGAAAACGCAGTAACTTTTTGTTAAGGATATTAAATTATAAAGCAAAATTACATTTGAAAATTCCTGATATTGCACAAAATACTATATATACGAATATTATCTCAATGAATCAAACAGTCTACTATTAGGATAAATGGCTTGTTCTTTAATATGGTCACAAATGAAATTAGTTTATATTTAGTTGCTGTATTCTGTGTATATATATAACATATATATATGAGTTTTATCTGCATTATATAAAAGCTTACGACTAGAAGTGTATTTAATTTTTAAAGACATTAGAAGATTTTTATATATATATATAATGTGGTGCCCTGAGGATAGATAGACCCAAGTCTAAACACAAAATGTATTTGTTTCATCTTCACATTCTGCAAATTGCCTGAAGATCATCTCTTACAACATTCTTAGTACCCTTCGTCTTTGACAGTGACTTCTCACATAACCTCAGGTGTGGAATTTTTCACTTGTGTTTTCACGTAATCATACCTTTCAAGTATAAGAATTGCTGCATCTCATGACAAATGCCTGTCATCTCAACACTTGGAGGCAGGAAGATAAGGAGCTACATAGTGAATATGAAACCAGCCTTGGCTGTATGAGAGCCCCTTCTCACAAAACACTAGTAAAAGCAACATAAGAATTACACTGCTCACAGTGAGATGATCAGGATGTTCACAATGCAAGCTGTACAAGGAACAGAACAACCAACCGTATATTAGTATGATATGCATGTACGAAGAGAAGTTGGTGCATGTCTCGGGTCACCACCATTCTAAGCAGGTACTCTTTGATAAAGGATAGGTGGCATTGCCCATTTCCCTCAGTAGAAATGTCTGTAATCTTTCTCCCATTTCCTGAAAGCATAGCGTTCAATTCATGAGTTAAGTGGATACATGATGCAATTACCTCATAATTTCAAAAAACTTACCTTGTGCAATAATGTATTGTTGCAAGGAGAGGGCCTGCTTGTTCATCCTGGCCACCCGGCTAGCTTAGCCCCAAAATAACCACACAGAAACCATATTAATTAAATCACTGCTTGGCACATTATCTCTAGCCTCTTATTGGCTAGCTCTCACATCTTGATTTAATCCATTTCTACTAACATGTATATCACTATGTGGCAGTGGCTTACTGGGAAAGATTATAACTGGCGGCATCCATCTCAGGGAGAGGATCCATGGCTTTTCTTTGACTCTGCTTTCTTCCTCCCAGCATTCAGTTCTGTCTCCCTGCCTACCTAAGTTCTGCCCTATCACCAGGCCCACAGCAGTTTTTTATTAACCAATAAAAGCAACACAAATACAGAAGGACCTCCTATACCAATGTGTTACTAAGGAAAGGGGAATAATAATGACTTATGAGACATTTCCTAAAACTAATGTCAGTGGAACTGAAACCTACAAAAAAAAAAAAACTTCAAAATTCACTGTGGGACTACAGAAGCACAGTGAAGAAAATTCAGACTGATATTTGCAAGTGTATACATCAATTGAGTGTATAGACTTTGGATTCTAAGGACAGAAGTCAGTGAACCGAAAGTCAAGAAATGTGAAGCGACTATGACTAAATGGAATTTTAAAAGGACACAATTAAGATTCTCAGCAGTGATTATACTTGTAGCCCTAGCTATTTAGAGGTTGAGGAAGGAGAAATACTTAAATACAGCAGTTCAATTCCCCACCTAGACAAACAGTAAGACCTTGTCTCAAAAATAAATAAGCAAGCGAGCAAGCAAATAAATAAATAAATAAATAAATAAAACAATGCTTTC